AAAAAAAAAAAAACCCAAAAATAAAAACCACAGTTCATACTTCCTGTGCAAATTTGTAAGACTTTCTATAGCTACCTTCTTCTGTTTACAAGACAAATCTTGTGCAAAGACATTTCTGGGGGTGTGAGATTTGCAGCAACATCCTGAGTTTAGTCTCCAGAAAAATCATGCCTTTCTCCACATAGTTGTGGTTTATAGGAAGTTTATTTGATTTTAAGGGTGAGTTCTGTTGTTCTGTGTGGAAGCAGGAAAATCCAGGCTTCCAGTGTTCCCTTCTAAGTAAATGGTACCATCTTGCCAAGCTAGTAAACCTTGTCCGCTACACTTGATTCCACACATTCAATCAGTAAACCTCCATTGAACTTGCCTCCTTGTTATCTTGTATATGTTTATTCACATATGAGATCAGTAGCTTTATTGATGTATATTATATAAAGATTGTGCATATTTAATGTATATAATTTGATTACGTTGGACATACTCCTAATTATCTTTGAAATTGAGTCTTTTTTTTTTTTTGTCTGTACTGCCATTGTCTTTTTTTGGTTTTGTTGTTGTTTTTGTTTATTTTCTTCCTGAGACAGGGTCTCCCTGTGTTGCCCTGCCTAGAGTGCAGTGGTATCATCATAGCTCACTGCAACCTCAGACTCCTGGGCTAAAGCTGTCTTCTGCCTCAGCTTTAGCTTCCTAAGTAGCTAGGACAAATTTGCCAGGCATGTGCTACCATGCCCAGGTCATTTTTAAAAATTATTTATTTTTATTTTTTATAGAGATGAGATGCTATGTAGCTTAAGCTGGTATTGAACTCCTGGCCTCAAGCAATCCTCCATCTCAGCCTCCCAAAGTGCTAGGATTACAGGTGTGAGCCACCATGCCTGGATGTTGCTTTTTGAGATGGGATCTTACTGTATTGCCCAGGCTGAACTTCTGGGCTCAAGGGATCCTCTCACCTCAGCCTCCTGAGTAGCTGGTACTATAGGGGTGCGCTTTGCTGGCTTCATTGTCCTAGTTTGGATCACAGTCTTTTCTCATCTGAGTTCCTTTATAGTCTTAATGATCTTTATTTCTATTTGTATCATTCCAGCCTATTCTCCATTGATCTGTTTAGAAAGCAACTTTATCACACTTCATGCTTCAAAGCCTCTGAGCATCCTGTTCCTGCAGTGTACAATGGTTCCTTAGTGTGGCTTGTCTGTCTCAATCTGGCCCTGCCCCTTTAGCTGCTTCTCTTACCTCCCTTCACACACCTGTAGCATTCCCACCCAGCCATTTTGAAAAGCTTTTTATTCCCTTAAATGCTGTTTGACCTTTGAGTATTTTAACATGCTGTTGCTCTCCTTACAGAGGTTCTCAAACTTTTTAAACAAGGGGCCAGTTCACTGTCCCTCAGACCGTTGGAGGACCGGACTATAGTTTAAAACGACAGGCAGCAGCTAAGCAGGATAGGCAGCGGTGGCAAAAACACCCAGTGGGCTGGATAAATGTCCTGGGCAGGCCACATGTGGCCTGCGGGCCATAGTTTGAGGACACTTACCTAAGAACATTCTTTGCCTGATTAGTCTTTACTAGAGACCTCCTGTGGGCTCCTGTCTTTACCCCCTCAAAGCTAGATGTCCTTTCTGCTTTTTTTCATTGCATACACCGTTTAGCCATGTTAAAATACTGAAGTATAGGCTCGGCGCCTATAGCTCAACCGGCTAAGGCGCCAGCCACGTACACCTAAGGTGGCAGGTTC